GCATCATCATTTGCGAAAAAATCACTATGTACAGTATACAAATGCATCAGAAATTCTCCCCAAGATGCATCAATTTTGATTTTATATTATCCTTTAGCTTGATTTTGAAAATGTATTGCCCTCTTTTATAAATGCATTAACTTGATTCAATAATGCACAATGATAGAAAAAAGCAAAGTAAAAAAAGCAAAAAAAAAAAAACAAACAATAATGTACATCCCTATTGAATACCAAATTGTCTCATCAACATTATCATGGCCAACAATTTTCAAGAATATAACAATATAACCACAATCCACAAATGTTTTACTTTCTTTTTTCTATGTCTTGAAATGTGACTGGAGGTGGGGGTTGTGCTCAACGTAAATGCAGTATATAAAGGGGTGGAGTGCAGTACTAGTGTTCTACAATGCTATGTCTATAGAAGAAAATCTTAAAATTTCACAGCACACCAATGCAGACTAGCATAAAAGAAGACATAAAAAGGAGTTTTGAAAAAGGTGGATCATTGTTCTTCTAAACCAATCTAGACCAGCACAAAGGGAGACTCAACAGAGGTGTTAAACTTTGAAATTCATTTGCAAAAAAAACAAAGAAGGAAGCATCCAATTTTCCAATTATATTGGATCTCTAACTCTAACAAATCTATTACTCAATGTGCAACCAATGATAATAATACTGCATCTATGTCCCATTTCGCTCCCTGCACCAACTAAATGGAGTTTTTGCACACTAAATTCCAAATTCATCCAGCAAAAGAACAAAAACAAAAACAAAAAATTCTACGTAAATAAAGACTTACTGCAATTCATTCAACCTAAATGAGCAGAAAATTAACAAGAAGCACAATTCACATGAACAAATGATTTTGAAATTGTGTGCTGTCAAACAAAAAATATCATGTTTAGCAAAAAGAATGAGAAAATTGAAACATGAATCAAAACATAGAGTGGAATGCCAAATTGAGAAGTGATTAGAATGTCGAACAAGAAGATTTCTTCCTCCAATGACATACCAAAGCAAAAGGAATAAAATTAAATAATTCAAAAATGTGAATTCATGAGGAGTAAATCTATGATTAGTCGTACCTAAATTAGCAAGAGAATCAGTCGGCCAATTCATCAAACATCATCTATGCTTTTTACATCTTGACTGTCGAACTTCATACAGATCCATGGCCTCGTCTTTATGGACCCATCATGTAATAACTAGAAGAAGAAGAACAAAAAATT